CACAGAAAGAATGTGCGAAGTTCCAGGTTTGATCTCCCTTAATACCACAGAACTGTCGAATGAACAGTTAACGATCTGTTGCACTACTTCACGGAAAACATGATGATGAGAGCCTGGTCCTATTTGCGAAGGCAAATTTTCCACCTTTCTGCTGTCCAGCAGCGAGCCACAATTGCAAAAGCGATTTATACAAACAGTCACTGAAATTTCCACATTTTAAAAAACCACCAGTAATATTAGCACTTGGGAGAAAACAAGAAAAATCATATTTCTTTACAAACGTTTCTGACACTAGAAAAACTAAACCTCTTGTTTTTGGAAATACCATACGACAAGGCCGTCTACGGCATGAAAAAACTCACTTCTTATGCTTTCTGAGTTCTGCGAATTTTCACTAACTTCCAAAATAATGTCTTCTCCAGCAGCAATACTTGCAAGTGAAGGCTTCTGCACCGCTGCATCGAACTAAAACTCTTATATATTGCTCAAAATATCACCGTAACTATCTATATTACAATTCATATTCAATTATATGATTACTGCGCTGAAAATCAAACCAGGAGAAAGACAACAAATACCGACCTTCTTCTGATTACGTGACACTTCCCACGTTTTCGATTTTGAAGCCAGCAATCCTACGTTTGCATTAACCGCTGCTTCTGTTGGTAGGGAACTATAGATTTGAAGGTGTTGATGAGTCTGATCGGGCTGAATTGGAGATGGAGAATTAATTGATAAACCCTGCTGTGATGTAAGTGATTTTGCGGTTGATAACGAAACAGGGCCTTGCGTTGAAGGTTGCGTAATCGTGGTATTCAGAGAAGACAGTGGTTGAGCAGCCAAACTCACAGTAACACTTGAAACCGCTTTAGGTGCAGCTGACGTCCGTTTGACCAAAGACTGTTGAGTTGATGGACCAGGAATAGTTTTTCTTGCAACAGGTTCTAAAAAAATTCAAAACTCAGATACTTCGAGTCTTTTCAAAAAAACTGATAGTGACAAATCAAATCTTCGCCTAGAATTTACAATGTACTAGAAAAGCCTACATAGGCAGTGTAAAGAATACAAAAAGTACACTTCAAAACAATATCTCATCCTGAAGCTCAAAACTTAAGGAAGAAACTGAGGCTAAAAGAATCATAACCAACTCTGTAATGAAGGGGTCTTTTTCATCGTAGCATCTCTATCAGTTGAATCACTAAATGCCATTGGGAGCAATGAGACTGTTGAACTACAGCTCTCTGTCTCAAAAAAATTATGATAAAAAAAAAATTATTCAACGACAACGATCAACAGTTGAATTATCCATTATTTTATGAAATAAAAAAATTTAAATTTTCATCAAAATTTTAAAATTTTTTTATTATATCTGCAGTAGGAATGAATGATTGTAAAGTAATTACCTTTAAAGGAAGGAGCTTACGGTCGTCTACGACCACAGAAGCAACAGTGTCACTCCCAGTATCTGAAGATTTTTGTGATAGAGTTTGGAACGATGAAGAGGAAACCCGACGGGCAATCCGTGACTTCCTTCCCGGTGGTGTGCTGTTGGTTGACTGCGTTGACTTCCTTTTCCTCAATTGGGTTTGGTCACCACTTCCTAAAATACTAGTTATAAAAATTTAAGCTATTCTAAGTTAATAATTCTTTCCCATTTCCTAACAAGATGACAAATTAAAAAGTAAAACCCTACGTAACAGAACTCCTGCAATCTTTCAGCAAAAAAAATTTTTACTTCTTGCTCTTCCCCTCTTATATAAAGGTTATTTTCAAAATATATAAATAGAGTTTTCTAAAAATTAACCTTTATTTTTTCGTATAAAAGACTGTAACGCTGCTTTGGACATATTAATTGGCTTCCGATCCAAATCCTTTCGCGTTGGTTTGTGCTTCCCTCTTCCTATCATAAAATATCAACCGTTACGGAAAAGTCAACCGTGAGCTTCATAAATGATAAATAAAAATATTTACAAATTACATGCTTCACAAAAAAATCAGAAACGCGATTCTATGGAAAATTTTTTTAGCAACTATAAACAAAAGCCTATAGTCAGAGAAGACAACTTGCGGAACTAATGCCTTCCATTCGCCTAGGAGGATTGATTGCAAGTCCGTTTTTTGCAGACCACCCGACGGGAAAAAGATACCTGCTATCATATCTAACTTTTAGATTATACGAATTGTTCCAACCATCAAAATTTATTGTGACAAAGTCATCGTCAACTTCAACGATCGTAGCTGGACATGGCCTTCCGTTAAAATTTTTGTAATCAATTGCCTCGCATTTCATACCCACTTCAAACTTATTTCTTTGCGGGTGAAAAGTACTAGATATCTGCAAAAAGAAAAGAACCACCCTTGAGTTTTTGGAATACTTCATTTTAAAATAGTCAAGCTTCTGCCTATTGTAAGAGGATAAATTATCTGACAAAGATCTACGATATTCAAATACGACACACCGGAAAACTGCCTTTTCTCCGGGTAAAAATTTTCATCCTCCTCTAGAGCCTAATAGAATAAAAATGGAAAAAATAATATCAAACGGCTACCAAAAAAGATAAAGCTCAAAAAAAGTGAAAAAATTATTTTATCGAGTCTTGCCATTACTCCGCCATAAAGTAATTGCCCTGAAATCTGAAAAGACTTTTTCCTACGATAATTGAGTAGTTTGAAACAGAGATATGACTTACGGGTTTGAACGTTTCAGGAGAAGCTGCGGGGCTTTTACCATCTGCTCTGGGTTTTAACTGGTTTTCAACAAACTTATGGAAACTAGATATATTATATTTGTAACCGTACGGAGGTTGGATTGGGTTCCCCTTCTTTTTATTTGCTCTGTAAAAGTATAAAAGTTTTAAAAGAGAAATCGAAAATGTTTAAGTGGAAATGCAATCAGAAGTTACTGTGAAGTACAGATGCAACCCAAGAAATTGTTCAAAGCATAAACTGCTTCGAGGTCTCGGTCAAATTCACATTATTATGGAATTCAAAAGACGCTTTAAGGTAGAACACAAGTCTTATTAAAAATTTCATAAACATCTCTGGGACAATAATTTCAATGTCGACCGGGTGTTAAATTCGTTATATTATTTGATTTCTTAATGATTAATGGTAATTTAAACATCACTGGTTTAATACACTAATCCTGAGTTAAAAACACAGAAGCAGTTTTTAGTTAATAAATAAAAAATATAAAAACAATAAAAAAGTTGAACAGTTTTTTTACAGAAATCATATCTAAATAAAGTTTCTTCGAACAAAGAATTTAAACATAAGTAAAAGCAAAAATTGTACTAACCCAACCGGCAAGACAGATCTATCATCGCATATCAACCAATGGTCGTTACTGGCGTCTTCGCCATCCAATCGCACGCAGATCCATACAGAGTGTACATGTTGTATTGTCGCTAAGCAATGCGTCCCGTTGCCTAAAAATCTAGCACGGGTCTAAGTAACATAAAGAAAGCCCATTTAGAACATCACATATCTCTTCAAAGACCTTTCTAAAAATAAGAGTATTATTAAATAACACTTCAAACAAAGATAAAAGATAAGAAATGAGGTAAAGGAACTGATTTAATAAGCAACTGGGGGAGAAAAAAGCAAAACCGAAGAAAAACATGATAGAATGCCTTCAGTAGGAAAAAAAGATAATGCAATACCTGACCTCTTAAATCCGGTACTTCAACTTTGGTGTTAACTTTGAAGTTATTAACAGGCGGAGTCGGGTCCTGAAAAAAGCAGTCAGCAGGAGCAGCTTTTGATTTCGTTTCCTTTAAATACTCTGACCAGGAAAAGCCTTCGCCCACCGCCTGCGATTTAGACTTCTGAAACACAGAACAATTTGAAAAAGTTGCTCTGAAAAAAACCTGTTTCCGTAAGTAATAACACCTCGTTAAAGAAGCTAATCAAAAATTTCCTCTCCCCTAAACGGTGTAAAAACACCGGCTAAACCTGATCAGCTGATAAGAAAAGTTTGTAAAAAACCCCTTCTCAACTGAACAACACATAATAATCCATTTTCGAGTCAAGTCTTGCAGTCCCGAGTATAAAATCCTTTAATTTAACCAGAAGGAACAAGTGACATGAGAACTAAAGCTGCAAAAACTTCTTGAAACCATAAATTAAACATAATTACTAATACTCAAAAACAATTCTAAAATGGTCGCCTGTGTTCTGATTGAGTTGGTTTATTGTTGCAAGCTTAGACGCAACGAAAACTTGCCTGTGTGCCGCGCAGCGCATTCCTAACTTCTTGAAAAAATCGCTACAAACCCTTTTTTTAAAAATTATATACAGAAGTCTGATACATACAGTATTAAACACTTCTTCATTTCCATGGTTAAGACCTTCTTTATCAAGTACGTCAACCTTCTTTGTTCCTTTAGACATTGTACTTGCAACTGGCAGTGAAAGATCATCCTTCTGAAAACAACGGGCAATAAATAAATCAACTCAGATTACAAATAATAGAGACTCACAATGTTTGATGGCGACGGTGAAGGAGTATCATCACAAATGCACAACTTTGGGTGCTCCTCATCATCGCTTACAACTTCCGGCGAAATATCCATAATTACTTACTGGCTTGCCGGTTTGAAAGCACAATAAGCAGACCTCTAAATTAAACTGTACAGTGTTGTATAATCTACAGAATCTAGACACGAAAACTAAGTATTGCGTACGATAAGCCCATTGTGACGAAAAAAAATGAAGGAAATTTGTGATGTAATTGCATATCAAAACAACTTAAGAAATTGTACCTTGATTAGAAACGTTGATTCTTTAATAAAAAAAAAAAGAACTGTTTTTACTCATCAGTATTAAAGCATTTCAAAGAATAAAAAAAATAAAAATAAAAATGAAACTCAATGAAAACTGAGCAAAATTCAAACGGGGAAGTAACAGAACCCGAAAAAAAGAATAACGATGAGAAGCAGAAAGTAAAAAATTTTTCTGCTGCCTTATATTTTGAAGTTTTTGACAGAATCATAAACTTACATCGATTTTTACAACCAATTCTAAATTACCTTTCAGTAAGCATAAACTATTTTTTAAATAAACTGGTAATCCGGCTTTACTAACATCGTCAAACAGTTAACAAGTTAGGCACCTTATCTTTCTAATAGCTTAGGTAACAAAAACTCTGCAATTGGCATTTACCGACCACATTATCACCAAAGAGCGGACAAGTGAATTACAGACCTCAAAAGTCGTTACAGTCGGAAATGCGTGAGTTGTGTCATCCAGTTCATTAAAAACTCTCATTTAACAATAATAATTTCAAAAGCCTCAAAAACGTACTTATAAATTTCAATCCAGTCCAGTGCTTAAAGTAAGTTGCAGTCGTTTCTTATAGATGAGTCCTGTTGATAAACTAGTAACTAAAAATTTCAGGTTCGTTTGCTCCTGATAAGTCAATTTCTACGTTTCATGCTACAGTCTACTCTTTGGTGGTAGATTAACCAAACCAAACACATAGTGTTAAGCGTATATCGACAGCAAGTTGCCGACGCTAGTTCGGACAAGCAAAACTTTTACAATTCATAATCGATATCTTAGAAACTACCTTTACGGAAAAGTAAAGAAGCAAAAATGATGATAGAAATCCGACAGCGCTGTATTTAAGCTAGATACATTTGTAGTTCTGAAAATGTCAGCAATGGATACAATTAAATTCAGCCTTTTTGTACCTGCAGAAAAATTTTTTTTTTTGAATTCTGACAAACACAAAAGAAAAAAAAGCTCAAAAAACAGCAAGAGGCGACTAGGGTCAATTACATTATCATCCTACTTAATTATCCCTATAAAATACAACCGCTGTTTTTTTTTTTTTAAATTCTTTCTCCACAAATTCATAGTTTTTCCCTACTAAATGCCCACATAATACGCAAAAGTGAATAAAAAAAACCCTACCAAAGATTACACATTCATTTCCGATTAACAAAAAAAACATTACAACATTACTCTGTAATCAATAAACCAACATGAAATATAACTGTGCCCTAAAACTAATGAAAAAGAAATTACTGAACCAAAAGTGAAGGTAAAAAAATGCAAAAACAAGAAAAAAAAATAATGAAGTATAACTGTCATCCTCTGGCAGTCCCTTGTTGATGGAATATATGCCAAATATTCATCCGTGCAGCACAACGCTTAAAATTCATACACAAAACACATCATACAAAAAAATATTTCTTTTTACTGCAAAAACTCTTTCTATTTCTCCACTACTCTAATTAATGATGGAACAAGCAATCATTAGAAAATATTGCGATATGATACCTTCTTAAACGAATCCAACTTGTACGCTGAGCGGCATGTAGGATATTCATAAGAATACATAAGAACTGGATAACGCTATAACTGGTACAATCATTCAGTGCATAAACGCAAAGGGAGATGGATGTCAGCCAAACTAAACGTTTTGGCGCCATTCTACCTTACTGGCAACGAATCATACTGAGCTCCAAAATTTACTAGACCCTTCCAGAAACATAGGAATAGCACGCATGCATATACATACAAACGTCAGATACATGGACATGCACACACACACACAAACACACACACACACACACAC